GGTGCAGCCGACTCTGAGACACATCATTCATCTCACCCTTGACCCTGGATGTATATTCTCCAATGGGACACATCCATAGCCAAGAGTCATTAATCATGCTTTCCAGTAAAATCTTGCGTGCCTAAAAGACCAGAGAAATATTTTTGAGTTGACACTCTGCTTTGATGCTTCCTGTACCATTTCTCATCTGCTGAATTTTAAATTCATCATATGCTTTAGCCTTCAACCTGCTAATAATCTTTATTGCTTTTCTCCCCACTCTTTCTTGCGTATCGATATCTTTTTTTATATCATGGGGACCACAATTGGATGCATATTCCAAGTGTGGTCTTACTAAAGTAATATATAGCAGTACTAGTACTTCATATGATTTTGATACTGTTCCTCTGTTGATGCAGCTGATTTTTTTTTCTGAGCCGTAAATATAGAAATTATATCGATGCTGTGCCACTGCAAGCATGAAGAACTTCAAGATATAGGAATAGTAGAATTTGGCAGAGTTCCATAAGGAAATTCATAGCACTTCCTACAATTTGATTTTCCCCTAACCTTCTTATCATTTTCATTTCTTTTTTTCTTTGAAGGTAATAATTGGCAGGAAAATGAGGATTCTGGGGAACCATTCCTAATGAATACCTCTGGAGACAGAACAGAGAAGCCTGCAATGCAGATGGAACTAGAAAGCCATGAGAGAAGCCAGTCAAATAATTGGAACGAGGAACGTTTATCTTCCATTGATGCTCCAATGCAAGACTTTCTTGCTGAATATGGAAAAATAAAGAACAAAGATTTTGGGAAAAGTACAAGACCATTCAGTGGTAAATTAGATGTAAATGAACATTATCCAACCGAAACAAAAGGAGATGATTATATATGTAGAGACAATGGAAAAAATTACAATTGGACTTTCACTCTTTCTCATGGAACTGGATCTCTTACCTCTCCTAAAATGATCCACACAACAAAGAAGCCATATAAATGCATGGAGTGTGGAAACAGCTTCAGTCGAAGGAGTTACTTTACTTCCCATAAAAGAATCCACACAGGGGAGAAGCCGTATAAATGTGTGGAGTGTGGAAAGACCTTCATTCAGAGCAGTCATCTGACTTCCCATAAAAGGATCCACACAGGGGAGAAGCCATATAAATGCCTGGAGTGTGGAAAGTGCTTTACAAATAGCAGCCACCTTACTTCCCATAAAAAGATCCACATGGGGGAGAAGCCATATAAATGTTTAGAGTGTGGAAAGGCGTTCTGTGAAAAATCATCCCTTATGAGACATAAAAGGATCCACACAGGGGAAAAGCCGTATAAATGTGTGGTGTGTGGAAAAGTCTTCAGTCAGAATAGTTCTTTTACTTTCCATAAAATGATCCACGCAGGGAAAAGACCATATAAATGCATGGAATGTGGAAAGACCTTTATTCAGAGCAGTAATCTTACTTGTCATAAAAGGATTCACACAGGGGAGAAGCCTTATAAATGCAGAGTGTGTGGAAGGGCTTTTACTAACAGCAGTGATCTTATTTCCCATAATTGGATTCATTCAGAGGAAAAGCCATATAAATGCACGGAGTGTGGAAAGACCTTTATTCAAAGCAGTCATTTTAATTCTCACAAAAGGATCCATGCAGGAGAGAAGCCATATAAATGCCTGGAGTGCGGAAAGGACTTCAGCTACCATAGTACTCTTACTTCCCATAAAAGGACCCACACAGGAGAGAAACCTTATAAATGTCTGGAATGTGGAAAGAGCTTCTGTGAAAGTGGATCTCTTACTGTTCATAAAAGGATCCACACGGGGGAGAAGCCATATAAATGTATGGAGTGTGGAAAGAGCTTCTGTGAAAGTGGGTCCCTTACTGTTCATAAAAGAATCCATACAGGAGAGAAGCCATATGAATGTGTAGACTGTGGAAAGGGGTTCTGTCAAAAAGCTTCCCTTATGAGACATACAAGGATTCACACAGGAGAGAGGCCATATATATGTCTGGAGTGTGGAAAGGGCTTTACAAATAGCAGTCATCTTAATTCCCATAAAAGAACTCACACAGGGGAGAA